CTCAGTGCATGGACCGATTCTCTTTCTCATCCACATTGCCGATATTGACTCAGAACTCACCCACGCATCTACATTGTCATTTGCGGACGATACAAGAGTGCTGATGAAGATCACAGTTGACCTACACTGCGAGAAGTTACAATATGATCTATCGTCAATCTACGATTCGGCCCTAGTGAACAATATGCAGTTCAACGGCACCAGGTTCGAAGTAATGAGATACAGAGCCCGCACAGAGATCGGGATGCTACATCGCTAATTGCCATCAGATAGCACAGAAATTGAGGAGAAGCAACTAGTTTGAGATCTCGGAGTGTTGATGAATACTGATGCTACGTTCGATGCCCATATCGAGGAAATAGTCGCGCGCAGCCGGCATTGAATGGGATGGATATGGCGGACATTTCAAAGGAGAGGAGCAGCATCAATAATTACACTCTTCAGAGCCCTCGTGCTCCCCAATCTTGAGTATTGCTGCCAACTTTGGTAGCCACTCAAGGCGGGTGCGGTGCGGAAACTGGAAGCAGTGCAGCGGACCTTCACGAACAGGATCAGCGGCATGAGGAAGCTGAGCCTGAACTACTGGGAAAGGCTGAAACACTTGAGACTGTACTCACTGAAGAGGAGAAGAGAACGGTATATCATACTGTGCGCTTGGAAGATGATAACCGGACTGGCTCCCAACTTTGAGAGTGAGTCCTCCAGAATAGGGATACGTCACAACGAAAGAAGGGGGAGAATGTGCAGGGTTCCCCCATTTAACAACCGAGCCGCGGCCAGAGTACAGGCTTTTCGTGAGGGATCACCGTTCGTGGGAGGACCGAAGCTCTTTAATGCCGTGCCAAAAGCGCTGAGAGGAGGGGAGTACACCCCTGCAATATTCAAGAGACGACTGGACAATTGGTTGAGAAAGATCCTGTATTGTCCAGTAATGGGAATCTACCCCAGCAAGTGACAAGTAACAGCATCTTGCATCATCTGGCCCAAAGGAGGGAAAATATACGGAACACGTCCAACGTTACATCCGGGACCCGCGGGCGGAATGACCTGCTTAGCGACGACTCGGAGACGGAGGACGAGGAAGGCAGCGCATCAGCGTGACCGTGGATTAAGAAGTCGTGGATTAAGATTAAGAAGATTAAGAAGGTCATAAGGTAATATGAACACCAAATATAATGTAGCGTATGGGATGAGAGAAAGACTGCCCGAAGTACATCATTTTATTAGAATACCACATCGCGTTCACTATTGCTATGTCTCAAATGCTAAAATTGTAAGCATTTGAGATAAATTTAAATTCAAATTAATTACTCAACAATACAAGTGTAACAATTCGTATGCAATATATAGCCTAGGATTTAACGCTTATTTATATTTAAGAAAATGCATGGCATCGATTGGTGTAAAAATAAAATATTTATTAAAATTCCTACATGGCTCTTCACAACGCAGCTCTCTGAACGTGTCTCCTCATGTTGAGATATGACCGGATTTAGTTATACATGTTTTATCGTGACAGTGTCAGTAGATGAGCATGTTATTCCAATTAGCTGCATTATTAGATATAGACTTTTTTTGCAACCCTATAACTTCACTTACCTCCGATTCTCCGCTGGAGGAGCCATCCAAACGTAGCAGGATTTAAACCAGGGCTCGCTGCAGACCGCGCGACGCCTTAGTCCACTTGACCACGGTAGCACGCATGCATTGCAAATTACAATAAGCTATTCAACTTATTTTCTACATCACGACTGAAAAGGCACTCGTGTGCCTACATTTTCTAGATATCATTTATTTCTGTTATTCTTCTGAGAAGGAACAATTAAACTTGTGGAAAGTTTAAAATCACCATTATCTACCACCACAACTTGCAGGTCACGTGCTATCGTAGGGTTGCATTACTGGTGGCATGAAAAACTGATCGACGTTGTACGATGTGTTTTATGTTTAAGCATTCCCCTCAGCGCCAATTAATACTTGACTTTATTTGGTATTGGTAGAATTGTTATGTAATTTATTTTGATAAAATCTATGATATAATAAGCTCCAGGTTAATTTTTTGGCACACTTTTTACATACCTTATTAGAAATAATGAATAAGTTTGAATTAACTGTGGATCTTTTACCTGGCTTACCAGTAACAGAGACTGTAATCGAACTGCGGTATGTTTCATAACCAATATGACTTTCTGAAACAATAAAACATATATATGACAAAAAACACCAGCGATGAAGCTATAAAGCATGTGAATGCCGTACGTGTGTTTAACCACTATTGCATGATATCTTCAACTATTTATATTAACACTATTAAAAGGTTAATATTTCGACCAAAAACAATGTCGAAATACAGTATAATTTCGACCCTGAATATACAGTTGGATAGTTTAGTGGCCACATGTTTACTAGTGCTTCAGCTATTTAGCTAGCTCACACCGAAAGTCAAGATGAACATCAAAAAAGAGGAGGTGGACGGTCTCAATAATCCAGTTTCTGAAATCAAAAATTCTTCATCACCCACAAGGGGCGGACGGTCTCAGATGTCCAGCCCGCTGAAGTTGGCTCGAAAGAAGCAGCGTTAGCATCTCAAAGAGACGAAGTGACAAGGAGGGACAGGTGAAAAGCAAAAAAAAAAAAAACGAAGACACTCGAACAAGAAGTCGCTTACGCGGGACGTTGGCCGTCCGCACGAGAGAGACTGAAAAAGAGAAATGTAAGGAATCCTACCTACAAAATAACGTGATGTAAGGATTAATACCTACATAATAACGTGATGTAAGCAATCCTACCTACATAATATCGTGATGTAAGAATTCCTACCTACTTAATAACTTAATGTAAGGAATATTACCTACATAATAACTTAATGTAAGGAATCCTACCTACATAATAACTTAATGTAAGGAATCCTACCTACATAATAACTTAATGTAAGGAATCCTACCTACATTATAACTTAACCCCACAACTGAGACCTGCAGTCAGACACCGCGTGCTCAGCGGTGGGGCGCTCAGGAACAATCCACCTAGGAGCCCGAAAATCCCATAGGATTTCTGACGAGCACAGACACCCATCAGAAATCCCCCCTGGGGGTCTGTAAATACAGTATACCTATTTTGTATATACGCAAATGACAAATTTAAGATTCGGGCTAATTTTTCAGACAACACAAAAACCTATACAAATTATTCAAATGCATGACATTAAGTTTACGCAAACAACAGATTCCCTCTCAACTTTGCCTCTGAGAGCCAGCCGCTGAATGCGCCGGAAAACTGACACCAATGATGAAAGTGAAATCTATGAAGCTTAATTGTGGATGCGTTTTTACGTGCGTTATATCACAAAAGCGTAATAATTTATCCGCCTAGCTTCAGTGACTGTCATTGGCTGAGCAAAAATTAGAGAAAACTGTTGAGAAAATGGCGAACGAACGTTTCGGAATGATTCGTTTAGCTACATTGAGCGTTTAGCGAGTTGAGATGTCTGCAACAAACGCAACGATTTGTTTCAGTGTGAGATTAGTGGAACGTCTAAAGAGGAAAGAGAATTTTGAGCACTCATAAAAAAGTTATTGCTGTTCATTTTTGAACATGCAGCCAATACTATGGCGTGGGTCAATTTTTCTACTTATAAAAATAAAATATTTATTTTCTCTATAAAATCTAAACAATGCTTACTTCTCAATATACTCTCTATATAACGTTTGCGACCATATACTGACCGGATATTAGGTAAAATCTTGCACTTTAACTTGAGGTATGAAGAAAACTGTAATGTATTCCATACTTTTGCGTGTCACTGTATATCCCGACACGGTAATTTGAGTATCCTAGACACGCATTTAAATTGCCCTATATATAGTGCGGTGCCGGACTGCAAATAGGCAAACGTTAACAAATTCATATAAGATTTGCAATTTTAATATACCCTTGCCTGGTGAAAATGAAATTATTCGATTCTTAACTCATACACATTTTCAATTCTAGAATTTGAATCTCGTATGTGCAAAGGTTAATATAAAAAGCTCGAGTAGTACTTAGTTTAAAGTCATAGATGTAAACTTTCAAGCCTCAAAGCTGCACCTGAAGGCGCGTAGTTGCAGGCGCTGACACTCGATAATCTTCCCCGGCCTGATAAGCGGCCTCCTGCTTATCTCGCCGCGCAGCTCAGGCGCTGCAGGTAACAGAGATTGTGGCAGGTCTCCGGAATGATCTATTAGTGGGTGAGTTCGACGAATTTCCAAACCCGTTATTACGTACCGTGTTAATAATAATAAAGCAATTGTTTGCTTAAAGAAAGACCCGTGCAAACCCGTATTTCTCATCCTGGTTCAGTGTATAAAAAAAAGTTGCATGGGTCTTTCGTTCGAAAAATCCGGGCAGACCCGTCCAAGTTCATCCTGGATTAAAAAATCCGGAAGATAATTATTTTGCGTTTTGTTTAATTTTTTTCGTGAATAATAATTTAAAAAACAGAATTTTAAAATATTGTTCCTTTCCTCCCAGTTCTGCGATGCCTCGCTATTCTCCCACTAAGAATAAATTTTCAGGTTCAAGTAATATCCCGACACGATATGTATCCTTGATACGTACCTCAACAGCCCCAATATATTTGTGATGCCAGGCAAACGTCGTATCAATCAACATAATAACAATATAATAATAGCGGCTTCAGCGTTTATGAGGCCGTAGGTCTGTCGCCGATTCTTAACATCGCAGAACATTCACAGCATTTTTTGATCTCGAACTCGCAACTCCGTGCTACAATTCTGCTGTGCTTAACTGCCCGGCCTCCTTGCCGATTCTGACCATAAACTGGCGCATAGAGCTGGGATCGAACCCGTGCCTCCCTGCTCCAATCTTGGTACTCTGAACTTTAACCACTGGGTCATCAACATCAACATAAAAATTATAACATCTCAAGTCTCCACAACGAAGAAAAAATTTACACTCATAAGCACTTACGTCTACGATATTGCAATACCTGAGGTACTTACGAGTACGATGACGCAGCTTGGAGGTGTTCCCAGTCACTATACACTTGTACACTACGAACTACTATTTATAGTCACCAAGTTCACACATCAAGAAACACTTAGGATAGCTATATATAATCACCATGTTCACATACCAAGTTACATAAGCTAACACTTCACTGCGTCAACAAAACCTCACTGTGAGGACACTTTTTGAATCTTGGAAGTTTGTGATGAACACAATGCGTCGCAGATAACGGCTATCAGGACAAAAGATAACGGCTAAGGCCAGCGTAGGCACCTAAACCTCCGGCCTCAGGGTCACTCGCTTGATGATCAAGTTGAAAATTTAATTAATTACAAGAAAGAAAATCGATTTTGGTGCTGATTAATTTAGTCTAAAGAAATTATTACAATAAATTTCACTGATTAATTTTGTCCAAAAAAAATTTACCTTAACGTGAAGCTACAAGGACGAAATACCCCAGCAGCTGAGGCATGCGTGTTGTATCCGCGATACGAGACTGGAACGTCGACAGGCACCACCGCTGTCAGTTCGCGTAATTTTGATGTAACGATGTAATACAATCCAAAAAAATTCTATTTGTCTTGAGTTTGAACAAAAAATTGTACTACCCTCTTTAAATTTGATTGAGAGTCCTTTAATTAGGACTTGCAATCAAATTAAGCAAGACAATCGTTTAGATTGGAACTAGGAAGCCTGTGACTGTTACGAACTGCCATTCAAGGTTTAAATTTGTACCAACGGTCTCTGACAGTTGATTAGCAAGTCCATTAACGTCGCTGTACTTAAATGATTAGTTATGCGAGATTGTGTTTGAATTAATGTTTTTCAAAGCAGATCATCTCTGGCTTTGGGGAATTGGATTCAAAATTTCTCATTTGGAGACATATCTTTTAGTTATGTAAAGTTATATTTCGGAAATCGGAGTTGCATCTATACTTATACTCAAAATACTCAGTTTCAAATAACTTGATCTTGTTTGTAAGCTGAACTATGATGGTGTTGTTTTAATGCTGGCTAGTATAAGCATTTCCTGTGTTGGACAATAATCGTGATTTCTACTAAAACTTTGGACCAGTTTTCGATCAAACTAAATGAATTCAATTGCGTTTTAGGGAGATGATTAATGCATTCAATGGACGCCAAGCTTTATATACACAAACTTCGATGTTTACATATCAGATTTGCAATACTTCCTGCATGCCATTCATGATGAATGCAGCGAAACCAAATGCCAAAGTTTCTTCTGCCGTGGCACCTCATGAAGCCCTCAAGGCCACCGCGTTATCTGGAGTTGTTCCCGATAGCCGCGACTGATAGCGACCGCGCGATGCCGTGACTGCACCAGAGTTCTGTTGCATGACCTAATGCTACATTATCATATTATTATATCAAAGCTTAATGTCAAATACTACTAAGAAATTAGAAGATTGAAGGCAACTAACTGAATAATTATATCAATTACCATTATAATATATATATCCACAACATAGGCACCGTCGGGCGCCAGAGAACGGTGCCTCTCAGCATTGCGCTTAGTTTTATGAGTGATATTTATGTTGTAAAAGCTGCAAGACACTGTAAAATATACGCCGCAATGTCACTGCACCGTGTAAGCCGGGATGACACTACATCGTGTGCGCAGTGATGATACTTTACTGCAGTGTACCCTGCACTCCACTCATGCCACTCCATTGCACTTTACTGCACCGCACCGACCGCAGCTCACGACACTACTTTGCACAGCACGGAACTGCTCATCGCCATCAAGCTGCTGCACAAGATAAGAGTAAGAAGATGCGCTGATAACCGAGATAAGAGACGGCCGTGCCCTAACTCTCTTTGTCCAATTATGATGATTACGGCATATTAAAATAATTCCTCTTTCATCGTAAATAGAAAGATCGGCCGGCAATGTATACTCAGCCAGTGGAGGCACCTTAGCAACCCGACTATGTTTAGTGTCTTATATTGGTGGGAAGCACTGTATTTTATTATTACAACACTTCTCTTTAACTTCACTTCTTGTTGTTTGTTTGTCTGTCTGCTACAAAACTTATAATCGATATTTAACACACTTCTACCTTTCCAATCGATTTGAAATTTGGCACACTTGCACGGAGTTGGAGACAATGCGCGAATCAAGTGACAGAATAAGTAATTTTTATAATATTTTTTTTTTCAATATTAGAAAAAATTAAAAATAGTTTTGTCAGCTACAAATCTTATTATCGATATTTGACAAACTTCTACCTGTTATCGATCTAAAATTTTGCACACTTGCGTAAAGTTGGAGGCAATGCGTGAATCAATTGACAGAATAAATACTTTTAGAAATTAAATGTTTTTATCATTATTAAAAAAATGTAAAAATAATTTAGTCTGCTACAAATTTTATAATCCATATAAGACACAATTTGACCTGTCCAATCAATCTGAAATTTTGCAGAATTGTATAAAGTCAGAGACAATGCACGAATCAGTTGACAAATAAATAATTTTGAAAATTTACAAAATTTTTATCTAAAAAATTTTGAAAAATATTTTTTTTAATATATGAAAATAAAATTAGAAATTCATTGTACATGTTTATCATCCAAGACACTGGATTCTTCAGAAGTGTTGTCTATAAAAAGTAATTTTTAAACGCATATTTTATTCTATTTTTTTCTACATTTTGTAAGCCACGCTATGGGCTGTTGGGGCGCTTATCCAGGATACGTATCGTGTCGGGATATTGCACATAGGGGCTGTTGGGGCGCGTATCCAGGATACTTATCATGTCGGGATATTGCATATAGGGGTTGTTGGGGCGTGTATCCAGGATACTTATCATGTCGGGATATTGCATATATTTTGGCTGTTGGGCGCGTATCCAGGATACTTATCGTGTCGGGATATTGCATATAGGGGCTGTTGGGCGCGTATCCAGGATACATATCGTGTCGGGATTTTGTATATAGGGGCTGTTGGGCGCGTATCCAGGATACTTATCGTGTCGGGATATTGCATATAGGGGCTG